CCATAGATATGTATACTGAATAATTTGCTGAGCTCACAGGGGCCACAATAGGAACCTTGAGAATGGTACAGAGTATGTACACTGTAAACATGCCACAGACAGAAAACACAACAAATTGTCACCACTTCCCATGCTGATATGTCACTAAAACTGACAACCAAGGTTTTGAAAATTTAATACAGTACACTACAGCAGGATTTACAGTTATCACTTGACTTTTTTCCCAAAAGAATTATTTAACAAGGTACATGTATGTACATGTAAAAATCGAACTGAATTATGGTTCAACTTCAAGGGTTAATTTTGTGCATACATGTATAAATTAATTAAACAAAAATTAAATTTACTTCAGCTACATTTACATATTATAATCATCTAAATCCACGGAGAAAATAATTTGTCTGTAAAATTAATTTAAAATAATTAAAAAACTTTGCAAGTTAGCAGAGGATTTGACAGAGTTGATTTGCCTTGTTGCCTTGCATCAGGGTGGTCAAAAACAAACTGATCCTAGGGAAGTATGTTAAAAATCTTGTCAACTTACACTGGAGATAAGACATCCTTATCAGCTTGAAAAAACACAACCAGCAAACTTAATGAGTGCCCTCCTACATGTGCATGTGCTTGTGTTTACAAAATTAGGGAATTCAACAATTTAAGGTGTAAACTAATTTTATCAGTTATCTCAAAGAATCATCTTGACAGTAATTAAATAGCCAGACTACACTGAAAGGAATCATATCGAAGGGTTAGGAAAATTAGTCTGGTTGTATGATAATTGATCACAAAAATAAATAAGAAATATTTCTTGTCCCTTGTATTTAGCTCAGTCTACAAAATTGCATTTATTTAGTTTTGAGCAGCTCTGTGTACTAGATGAATTTAATAACCTGAAAACATTTCAAGAGATTTCCAGAACTTTCTCTATGTCATGTAATCTGATCTTTGTTGAAGAGAGCCACTAACTAACTAGATTACACTTCTGGATTAGGATTAGGATTAGAAAGACCTACATCCAAACATTGGAAATTATTATCAAAAACACAAAAATTGAACTGACAACTTTGCTTGTGACCAAGTTCACAATGTGGGTGTTGCTATTTTAATATTCCCTCCAAGGTGTAAGGAGAAATACTGAATAATTTACTACTAATTACTTCATGTTATAGAACTGAGAAAAGTGCTGGCCGCACATTAATTCTCCTATTCGTACTACTCTCATGCAGTTGCCCAGAACTTAGTAAACTATAATGACTACACATGCATAATAGTGAGGGTATCTGGCTCGCAAGACATTTAGTGAACTAAAACGTTCAACTGTTCATGTATCTTACTAAATAAAAATTATCTGTTCATTGGGTTGGCACGCACAGCCTGTTTGGTATGTGTCAAGGTACATGTAAATGTGGTAGTAAATTTGCAGGACAGCAATTTGATCCAGGAAATTCAGTCTCTACTGAATATGATTGTAACAAGTGTATTAGAACAAGTCTGACTCGTTTAATTCTATCAGCTAGAACAATGGGAAATTATTTCACTTTCAACAACTTAATTATGTACACATTAAAATTAAACATCATTGATGGCCTCAAGTAGTTGATTTTGGAAAACTGTGTGTCATTAATCAAAAGCTTTCACCTTTCTCACAACATGTTTGTTGACAGTGAGTCACAGGTACAACCATTCTAAAATATTTATACAGTCATGTACATGTAGTTGGCATTCCTACATGTAAGCTACTACTGGATTTTAATATTTTTGAAACCTACCTTCAATAGCACTTATGGAAAATCTGAACTGATCCTAAAGCAAAGAAAAAAATATTACATATTCAGAGTATACAAAATATTATAAAGATATCCTACCTGAAACAAAAACCTGCAATGTCACAAGTTAATTCAATAATTTTTTCACGGAAATTATACTGAGAAATCATCAATTGGCTACATAACTGTATGATTATGCTGGATGGCAAAGGGAGGAGGGGGAATGGGACAAGGAGGGAGAGGAGGTTAATGCCCTGTATAAGTTCATATAACAAGAATAGTCCGGTATTTTGTGTTTGGTTTGAATTCTTACCAAAGGTTGTGATGGTGGCACAAAGGATAACACCCCTGGGCTTTGTTCATCTTCTGTTGACTGTTGGGATTTTTGTTCCAGCTCCTGTAGAAACAGGGAAACATGGAGAGAGTTGGCATATGTAAGAAAACTTGCTTTTGCAAGGTTATGCAGATGAAGTTTAATTTGCAGATGGAATCTTCACTTGACAAACCGTGTTAACAAGTGTTCACTAGCAATTTAGATCTACCTGTACAAACTATGTATATCTCTAACAGCTCTAATTATCTCAGAAGTGACATGATTCTAATCAAACTCACTATCAACCAATGCATACACACACATATAAGCAACTACAGTGTACATGTAGGAGTGAAACGCAAGCCTTAGCATACAGTATGTGAACTATTAGCCTATATATTTAAACCCCACATAGACTGAAAGCAGACTCCTTTGTGAAAAAAAAGTGGGAACTTTTTTTTATTTGACTTACTTCATATATCCGGGGGAAGAGACAAACTTCTCAAGAGTGGTACAGAATCCCCCACATTCATCACCAACTGCAATTATTACATTCTCTAGGTTCTTTCACAATTTGTTATATTGTCACACTGTGTGTACATGTATCTAATGTACAACATAACGATCAATTCTAAACTAAATCCTACTGTAAGTTTATTTTAATTTATCAGTTTTGATCTGTCACGGTTTATAAGAGCTGTTTGCTGAACATGTGTTATCATAAGGTATTCAATGGTCCATTTACAGATTAGCAGTGGTCATTATGCAACAGACAGCTGACTATACCGTACTTCTTGGCTAACAATGAAAGGCAAACTTTATCAAAGAGACTTACCTCCTGGAAACTCTGTAACTCATTCAGCATTTTATCAATATCATCATCATCTTCATCGTCATCATCATCCACACTGTCTTCTGATTTATTAGCAAGCAGGTCATTTTCACTGCTTGCTGGCGTCACTTCTGCACTTGCTTGCTGGTCACTGCTGTCTTCATCCATTTCTACAGCACCACTTGATCTGTAATGATAACATTTGGTTCAGTCAAGTCAGACACAGTCACACTGCATGCAAATACATGTATATATTACTGTGCAGTTCTATGTTCAGTTTACATGTATGCAGTAGTCGTAACGAGCCCTTATTCCAGACTCAGGCGCTCTATCCACTGAGCTACGAGAACTCATGTAGAGCAAGGTCAACTGAGTTCATATATGACAGGGATCCTGCATACTGCTAGGATCAGCACCACCAAAGTCATCGTGAGTGTGATAAGTGAATAAAGATGGTGAATTTTTAAGTTCAGAAATGAAATGTGAAAAGTGAACTAATCAACATGACATGAGTGTGAGACAAAGAAAAAATCTGAGTCCCCAACAGGAATCGAACCCATGACCTCCCAAACACTGGGCGGGCACTCTATCCAGTGAGCTACGAGAACTCATGGAGTTCATGGAGTTTTCTTTGTCCCATGCTCGTGTCATTTTGATTAGTTCACTTTTCACATTTCATTACCGAGCTTAAAATTCACCATCTTTATTCACTTATCACACTCACGATGACTGCGACAGTGCTGATCCTAGCAGTATGCAGTACGCCTGTCATATATAAACTCAGTTAAATAACCTTGCACTCCATCAGCTCTCGTAGCTCAGTGGATAGAGCGCCCACCCGGTGTTTGGAAGGTCATGGGTTCAATTCCTGTTGGGACTCACATTTTTTCTTTGACCCACACTTGTGTAATAATGATTAGTTCACTTTTCACATTTCAGATATACTCCTGGGGACTCGTCACAACTACATCAACTGCTCATGTTTTTGACACTATCAAAATCAATTGGTACACGATGCTCTTGCAAAATCACGTCAGAAGCATGGCTAAGACTTCTTCTTTTAAGCAGATGATCTTTCGGATACATTCCATTGTGAATAAAATCTTGAAGAGACAAAGTTATAGTGCTGCTGCTTCTGGGCTGAAAATTTGCTCTATACAAGTTAACTACCTCCGCGGCCACCAAGCTTCATGTCTGAAATTGTACTGAAATCAGATATCCCAAAGTGTAACCAATCACAGAGGTGGACTTAAGACCCTTTTGTTTTACAGCCAATCAGAAAAAAGTCCAGATTCTGGACTACGGGCAGATGACTTGTGAAATAATTGTATCAGGCATTATTTTTTCCTCCTTCCCCTTGCTGTTAATAAAAGAATGCCTCATTGCATGCTATATTATGGTGAGATATGGTAAAAATATTCTCCAGCTAAAAGTATATTTAAGTAAAAACACAAGCTTTTGACTTTCTTAAGTACAGTCTTCAATGGGCAAAATGGTATAAAGGTGCTAAAAAATATAGTGTGATAAAATACAATAGAATAAAATATGATAGAATAAAATGGAATAAAATTATAGAATTGCACTGAAGAAATTTTGTTAAACAGAGTGCTATTCTGTATTCGTCCTGGTAGTGAACAAGAGTTATTTTCCTCATTGGGGGTTGATGTGGTATGCCTAGATTACAGAAATTTTCTAATGTGATAGTTGTCTTTGCCATTGATGGGGAAGCGTTGTTAAAATCAATGACATGGTCATGGAACCATGCATGATGTACAATCCAGGAGCCTTTGGCTGCTGTTTATTTGATGTTCCCTACAACTGTGTTCTTTTTCCATGTAACAAAAGATCTACATGTACCGGTTCAACGACATAACTCCATAAACAGTTAGCGCAAGGAATGTTTTAGACAAAGGACTTGCTTGATTTAGAAGGGTGACCACCAACTTAACGAACATTCCAACTAGTTCCTCAGGGGATGAAAAATGGTATGGGCTACACATACAATAATATTATGTTACACAAGTCACATTATGAAAATTGCTTGACTGACTTTTGAAGCAACCAACACTGAGATAAACTTACTACAATGACAATGATGAATTGCATCTTAAGATTGCTTAATAGGATCTTGAGTCCCCATAATAATTTTCAAGTCAAGACCATGAGGTAAAATCCAACACAAAAAATTCCAATTTAATTTGGTGTATTCTCTAATTAGTAAACATGTAAGCATCATAGGCTAGTTAGAAGCTTAGCACAATTATATAATGAAGGGCCCTCACTCCGGCTAAATCCAAAACTCAAAGTCCTCAGATCGAAGAAATTACAGTTGTATTACATGTTATTTTGTTTACACAACACTGTCAGTTATCATAAACAATAGTTAATATTTTACTATGAAAACTCACTCGAGCATGATATCTATTGTAAAATACCAAAACAAATCCAGCCATGTAATCCCTAAAGGACTGAATGTTCACCATTTGAAACAAAACAAATTTTCTTCAGTACTATTAAGCAGAGCTCGGGTTCAGTTTTTATTTTCGATCTCGATAAGTAAACTACAGAAAACATGAATTAAAAAACGCTCAAAATTATGTGAGATTAGCATATACATGCAAGATCTCTCTTTAGCAATCAGTCTAATGGAAACAAGTGCGAATAGGGTAATGCTTTCAGATCACTTACACGAGGGTGAAACAGAAAGCATGTGAAAGCACGCAAACTAAAATCAGACAGAAACCAATATATATAAGGCTTATTACTCAACATAAATCTAAAAATTCGTTACTGTTAGGTTATCGCAAAAAGAATCTATGACCTACAATTCAAAAGATCATGTCGTGCCATGAATAAAGACCATATCTCTAGGCTTAATTATTATAAAGGTTGATTATCAAAGTTAACTGAGAAGGCTGGAAAGTAAAATATCGTTATTCAATTCTTTTAAATGCGGTTTAAAGCTTGAGGGAGTTTTACTTTGCGAATTACAACGCAGATATCAAATACTCACAAGCTTCCATCGGAAGTGTACGGGGCCATTGATCTTGTGATAACGAACTGAACTTCAAAACTTCAACTATAGAATTCTTCTACAGATTCACACGAAAGAAATACTTATATTCTCTGTCGGTATTGGGCAAGACTGGCGCAATTCGATTATGATACGAAAATATCCCTTTACCTGTGTCACAGACAAGCCCTGACCAACACCGGATACACGCCTCTAGCGAACGTCAACGGAATGCTCCGGAATGCGGCGTCAGATTTAGTGCAAATGCTATTTGTAATGTAGTTTGGTAGGAGACAATTACCACAGAATATGTGATAAACGGAGACCCTCCTTAGGAAGCGCAACAAGAACTTCAAGGATGTTTCGTAAGCAGGCTCAAGAGTTCACAACACTTCTTCTTTCACCGCTTGTTGCGCAACCGTGGGGACTGGAGCGAGTGGGTGTCAGAAAAATCTCGACCGGTTATGGAATCAAAAGCCTCCTACGCACAGTACATTTGCGTGGAGAGCAAAACATAATAAAAAAAATAACCCGTAGAAGTCGGAAACTGGGGTTAGATGACAGTTTTGAACATTTTCTAAGTTTAGTCATGACAAAAGCATCGAAAAAGGGTTGACATTATCTTCGTTGTCACGCGAATAGCGTTGGGGGATGGAGGGTAAGTTGCATGACGGAAGACGAATCAGGTAGGTACAAACCCGTCCTTCATTCGTCTTCCGTCACGAGATGCCATTTGCTATTTGAGCAGGGGCACCCAACGGATGGTTTCGGTAAATTATCTGTTCGGAAGGCCTCTAATCCCCTCTAATTTTCTGAAGAGAATTGTCACCTCGAACTTTCGTGATATGAGAAATTTAATGTCTGTTGTTTTCGGATCGTAAAAAA